GCTCTATCCACTGAGCCAAACCAGTCAGGGCGCGACCTAACATTATTGATGTTGAAGTATTAACAGGATCTGCGGAAGGGGAGGTTGTTCTGATTCCAAGAATTGATTTGTCCCCGTCTGACACTGGCCTCCCATTTAAATTAATTCGAATTCAGTCTCCTGTGAACCAGCATTTGCGATGACTATTAATAAATCACAAAGACAAACTAAAATACTAACATATTTCAAAACTGAGGGGACAGTAGGACTTCTTCTCATAATGACAGTAGGAAAGAAGAACCATAAACATTTTGTAAGTTTTCTCAATGTTTTGTAACTTCCTCATGTTCCATCTGTGTTCAGCTGTCTGTATCACTGTAATGATTGGCAAACTCATAACATGACATGATTTCAAGTGGTGAGAAAGAAAGGGCTCAGCTAGTCCTTGGGAAGTGGTGTGGTAGAAATGCAGGCCTTTCGTGGGTGGCAGAATTTAGGAGAAAGGGCAAGAAGGGGTCCTTATGGGATTTAAATTTGTGATTTCGCCTGACTGAATTGCTATTTGAGTCACACCTCAGGCCAGGGCCCTGAAAATAATACACAGTTTGTTCAAACCTGTACATATCTGATAGTAACCTACGTAGTAGGATATAGACACTAAAAAGAGGACATAAACCCTAACCTCATGGAACTGTGAATCTCCCAGCCTAGAAGGGAGACCTATAAAGAAGTCACTGTAAAAGTGCAAATAGTATGCCAAGGGCTTTGGGAATGCAGAAGAGGTGCTGTAAATGGGCTGGGATGCAAACCCCGTGCCTACAGAGGCCAGGCAGATAATGCAAATGAGTGGAAAGGGGCCTGGTTGCTGCCAAGTGGTGGCATTTGGAAGCACTTGTTCCATCTAAAAGAGGCAGCCTCTGGATGCTGGGCTCAGGGATAGAAGAAAGACATCGTTTTCACTATACATCTTTCTGTACCTTTTGAGTTTTATGCATGTGCATTTTTTACCTAGTTTTTTTTTTTTTTTCGAAAGTTTTATTAGAGAGGTAACCAGTACTTGGCCCCCACCTATTTTTTTTTCTGGGAATGTCGGTCCCCTGGTGCCACGTATTTTGATAAGAGAAACTGAAAAACTGGATTTTTAAGTGAATTCTCCTAAATTTTAAACATTGGTGTTTAACTTTTAAAAACCGAACAGGCTAAATAAAACTTACCATAGAACACCAGTTTACAAACTTTGGCCCTGCCTATATCTTCTCTATGCCTTATCAGGGCAGATCATCTTAATTTTCAGGAGTCAGGCTTTCCTGGAATAGACCCCTCTTAGGGGATAATTCAGTTTAGATGTTCAGTATTAAGAATTGACTAGACAAACAACAAGTGTTGGAAAGGATGTGGAGAAAAAGGAACACTGGTGCACTGCTGGTGGGAATGCAGACTGGTGCAGCCACTGTGGAGAACAGTATCTA